AGAGGGAAATGTACATTACATTAATATTAACTATAAGGAATGGAGAGTGTTTGAGGGTATGAATAAATATTTGATTGTACTACTTTCTTATTTCAATGTGTATATATTTTAATTGTCCTTTCTCTCTATTCATTAAAGATTCCAGTGCTGAATATTCAAATGAAAATTTTTCCTGCACTTTGTACTGTGGCAGGGACCATATTTTCCTGTACAAATTACTTCCGTGTAATCTTCACAGGTGGTGTTGGCAAAAATGGATCAACCATAGCAGTGAGTATACTTTAAGGTTTCCAGAGATTTGCAAACTAAGACTTGTTCTTACCAATACTCTGTTTTACATTTAAAAGACATATAATCATTTGTCAACTTAGAATTTCTATTAAGCCTTTGAAATATATATTTATGCATACTTTTGTATGCTGATAAGTGTTCATGTATATGGGCACAGCACACATTTTTGGAAAGTATGACATGCTATGTAAAAGTAAGTTACACCTGCCGAGCACAGTCCTGTTTATGCTTTACCAGTTCATGCAGCTGCGTTTCACTAGTCTGGAATCCAACTCATTGCACTTGTTAGCTGGCAGCCACTGTGAGGTTCTAGAAAGTTTGGGTTAAAGTATTTTGTGGTAGGTCTATGCAGCATCTGATAGCATTAAATGCTCTTAACTCTGCTCCATACAGGGAACAAGTGTCCTTTCTCCTTTTCTCCATATTGGATCAGTGATCACGTTAGCTGTTATGATCTACAAGAAGTCAGCAGTTCAGCTGTTTGAAAAGCATCCGTGTCTTTATATACTGACATTTGGTTTTGTGTCTGCTAAAATCACTAATAAGCTTGTGGTAAGCACCTCAGTTTTTACTGTTTTAATGTTCATCTTACTTTGGACCTGGATTTCATTCTGTGGCTTCCTGAGTAGTATAAGAGTTTGCAATATCAATCTCTTTACACCAACAGAAGAGTTGTTTTACTCTCCTGACATTACATTTAAGTTTGCCTGAAGTTCTTTGAAGCTGTATATCCTTTACTGTCTTGTCCACTCTTTAACTTGGTCAGTCAGTTTATATGCCTAGACACACATTGAAACCCTTTTGTACAAAAGTGTTTTCCACCACAGTAGTTGGCATGATTATTCTCTTCCTCATACAGTTTTAACTTTGAATTTTTTTTAGTTTTACAAACTCAACGACTATTGCAAAGTCATTCTTGAAACTTCGTATTTGAGCATGATACTGATTTACTGTGTTGCTGACAATTCTAAAATGAAAGTACCTATCTCATTGATTTTGTTCTACTCTCAGGTTGCACACATGACAAAAAGTGAAATGCATCTGCATGACACAGCATTCATAGGTCCAGCACTTTTGTTTCTGGACCAGTATTTTAACAGCTTCATTGATGAATATATTGTACTTTGGATCGCCCTGGTAGGTATTATACTGTCTTATTTTGTGATTTGTAAGCTACCTATTTTCTTATTTAGGTAAGCCAGTCCTAAGAGGTCATAGAATGATGATAATGACTAGGCCTGCCAAAAACCCACATTTGCAATGTGTTGTGAGTTTTTTATGACTTCAGTGTTTGCCTGCATGTGTTAGTCTTACTATTCCTACCTGTATTAAAACTCAAAAATTCCAAATTTCTGATTGTGTGTGTCAGAGAAGTTCAGACTATATTCAGCCATAGCCACTCATTTATAAATTGTCTGTGCCTGCATTCATTCTATACTGGCAGAGTTGAGCAACTGAGACAGAGAATGCAACTTAGAAAGCTTGAAATAATTGTGTTGAGTTATAGCTTAGTGGTCAAGTGCTTGCCTAGCATACATGAAGCCTTGCGTTTGATTCTCAGCACCATATTTAAAAAGTTAGGCATGGTGGCAATGCCTGTGAGCCCAGCACTTGGGAACTGGAAGCCAGAGGATCAGAAGTTGAAGATCTTCCTCGGCTACATTCTGAGTTTGAGGCTAGCCTAGGCTGTGGAAGCCTCTGTCTCAAATAAAATAAATAATAAAAAGCTTGATATATTTACTGTCTCTCTAAGGAAAGATTTGTTAACTCTTAGTTATAAAGGATACCAGGAGGCAACTGTTACTCAGCTGTATGAATTTGAAGGTGAGTTTGGAGAGAAGACAGTCAGAAGCCACCCCCCTGTCCACTTAGGAAGTTTGGGGAGGCCTGTGCACATGTTGAGAATCTAACCAAACGCCTCTTCTCTTTCCAGGTCTTCTCTTTCTTTGATTTGATTCGTTACTGTGTCAGTGTCTGCAATCAGATTGCATCTCACCTGCACATACATGTCTTCAGAATTAAAGCCTCTGCAGTGCACACTAATCATCACTAATGATGTGGTTGGGGGTCTGTTAAGCTCATGTTTTCTGCAGGAAAGAATCCAAACATGTTAAGGAGAATGGGAGTGAATGAGAACAATGTAATTTATAATAATCAATGCTATATAACTTTCATTCTTTGTCACTGGTAACACTCCCTAACTGTCCTGTTGAGAATGGGAATTTCAAGTCCCATCCTGTAAACTGAACAAGTTGTTAAACAGGGTTTGGCTCCAGAAAGCATGCAGGGAAAATGCCATGTGTTTGTGATTATCCTGAATTCAGACTAACATGGTCAGAGGAGCACATCCCCAGTGGTGGTGATTCTATTGTAAAATTTTTGCAGGCCAAAAGATGGTTGCTCTATAATTTTAACAAATCATCATCTTTTAGTAACACCTTGTTTATTGTCTTCTCAGACTTTCTTTTGTAAGGAGCTCAGCTTGTGACATACATCCTACTAGCTTGTGAGGTGAGAGCAGTGATAAAGACCTTAAATTTGGATGGAAAAGTTTCCTGTCTGTACATTGTTGAGGAAGTGATTTTATTATTGATCAAGAAATGGTGTTTCTCACGGGCTTGGGAAATCTTGCTAGCATGCAGATAATGTGGTAACTTTGTCAATCCATTTTATTTTTTTAAATAAATATATGATCTCAGAGCCAGCCTTTTTTCTCAGTTTTATTCAGGGGAAAAGTAAACTAAATTTTAAATGTCATTTTTTAAATTGAGACAGATTTTATTTCTGTTCTTTAACAATTAAGGAAATATGGTCAGCTGTGTTGTCATGATGTGCCTTTGACCACTCTACTGTAGAAACTGTTAAATCTTTTAAAACGGAAAAACGTTTTGTCCATTTTCTCTCCTGTAGGTTCTTTGTATTTCAGTCACTGCTCCAAAATTTCAGTAATTGTCCAGAATGGCATGGTGGTGGGTTAATTTTCATTCTCCTTTTTGGTATTTAGACTACTGTTTGAATGCTCTCTGTGAATCACATTTGTTTTCATTATAACCAGATGTTCTGTTTCTTTAGTATAAAGAAGTACAAAGGGTAGTGAATCCCAGCACTCAGAGGTGGAAGCAGGGGGAGGATCAGAAGTTCAAGTTATCCTCGACTCTGGAGTTTTAGGGGAGTCTGAGCTACACAAGACTCAGAAAATTGGGGGGGGGGCAGGGTGGTGGAATATAAAGATAATCTAAGAAAAAGGAGGGGGGGAAAAAGGACAGGTAATCTTCCAGTAGTACAGTTACATCTATTGTTTTATTTGATTATTTCAGCAGATATTTAACAGTTGTTTATACCTAGTGGAAGTTGAGGCCTGGAGAGGCTAAATGAAATACCAGTTGTCACACATTATTGCTGTACTCCAGATGGAATCTAGGCTATCTTCTGAATTCTAGCTCGTGTTTTCTAGCTATAAACAGAGGTCCTCAAGGCCAATTGAAGTAAATACATGTATTATTATTTTTTTTCTCAGCATAGAGGGAATCTGAAAAGCAGTCATGCGTGTGCTTCCTTTGGTCCTAGATAACATCAGCATCATTAGGCCAGTGATTGCTTTGTAGAAAGCCTCAGCTGGCCCTGGTTGTTACCTACTAGAGTATGAGAATCATTCAACAATGTGGATGCTTTTAGAAAACATTTCCAGGATTTTCTGAGGGAGGAGGGAAGGTAGATTCTGGACAAGGTCCCACAGTAGCTCAGGCTAGCCTTGAACTCTCTGTTTTCCTTCCTTAGCCTCCTGAATGCTGGGATTGTAGGCTATGCCACCATAATGTACTCCAGGCTCATAGGGAATCTGATAGACTTGTATTGGAGCCTCACTAGTTTCACAGCCTTAACAGCATTCTGGTTCTTGGTGTGAAACTTTTCAAGATCTAACTAGGTTTAGCAACCACTTCTATAAACCGTCTAAAAAGATGTAATGATTCCTAGAAGCTGCAGAACTACAGTTAAGCATGGCATGTGGACATCTACCACCTGCAGTAGATGTTTGTGTTCCCCAAATCAGAATATATCCCTTAAATTTCCATTTTGTAGCTCTGCCTCTTGTTACACACCCCCCCCCCCCCATGATTTGCATTCTTTATATGGAATTCAGAAACTTCCGAAGGCCACAATAAAAAATAGGGAGGGAAAACATTTCAAAGATAGAGTTCTAGAAGACAAGATATTTTTCTTATAGGTTTAAACAAACTATGAAGGGAGGTATAGAAAAAGAAGGGCCTAGATAACTACTAAATACTTTGGATTGTAAAGGGGGAAAATGTCAATGCTAGAGAGTGGTACTGGAACCTTAATAAGCAGTTGAGGTGAGATGCCTAAGACTGAAGGTAAAGGACTATCCCTGGCTTGGTTATGGGCAGTCTAGCCTCTTTATGGAAGTCATGAAGTAGCCTTCAAGGGCTTCTGTTGACTGGGATTTCTTCATTAACTTGTCAGGCCAAAGCTGCCTCCTTCCTCCTAGCAGTCTCTGCTCAGAATGCTGGAAAGCACACCTGACTAGTACCAAAGATTACTATACTGTGGGCACTCTGACCAAGATTTCTTACTCTTCCCACTAGAAGTGGAGATGCTGACCCCTGATTTTGTGATTCCGAACAGCCTTGTGTGACCAGGTTCTTCTCCATGTCTGTTTCAGTTTGTTCTCCCATGCAGTGCCTCCTAGATTGACAAGCAACAAGGTTTTCATCTTTATTCTCATCCTCACATGTCAGACCACTATTTCGTACATGGGTTGTTGGGCCAAACAGTGTTCTCTGCTGAGGATTCCATAACAGTGGTTCCCAGGAGATGGCATTGGCGGCAACTTCTAATCAAGCACCCACAACTGTACTACTGTTTATCACTGTGTCCATTCTGCTAAAACTGCAGCTTTGAGTACAGTTCTATGAGCTTGGATGAGAGTTCTCAAAGTTCTGAGAAACCCTGACACCAAGGATCCCAAACTCAGACACCACTTTGAAGCAGGACTGGATTGCCAGTTGGAAGGAAGCCATGGATTCCAGGACTGAGGGGCTCTCTGATCCTGTCACAACAGAAGGGCCAAAGTCCAAATTGGCCTGTAGCTGTAGACACTGTTGCTCACAACGGCTTTTACTTCACAGTCTTTTCTCTTGATTTCTTTTGTTTCTTCTGTTCCTCGTATTCAAGTATTTTCTTTTGGAAATAGCCTGTGGGTTCAAACAGGTGTTAGTTAGGCAGACTGACGAGCTTAGGAATAAGTACTCTCAAAAGGCCTGACATCTGATGTGTGGAATTACATGTCTACAATCCTAGTTATTGGCAAGCTGAGACTATTAATGAGAATTTTTGTCTCAAAAATCCAGAAAGGCCCCACATTCTCCCCTACCCATAAGCTGCCAGAATCTCTAGACCCACACCACATTTAGTCTGACCCAAAGGGGACCTACAAATAGTAATTAGCTCCAGAATACCCAGACTTCTGAGTGATGAATGGACAACTCTACCAGCCCCTAAAGCTTTTTCTCTGGTTACTTCCATTGAGCCTCACTGACAGGACTCCTCTTACAGGAGATACTTGCAGAGAAGTTGGTGGGGCTGTGTGTACCTGCAGGAGGATTCCTGCTCTTCTCTGCTTCCTGGATGAACAGGGAGAAAAGTTGTGTCTTCACAAACTTCTTCACGAATCGGCGCTTTGTTTTGGAGGTGACAGCCTTACAGAAGGATCGTTCTTGGAAGTGGCCTTGCCCACTAGCCTCCCGTTTGATATAGGAGGCATAGTGGCCCACAGTCTTGACGAAGAACTGCACAAAAGGGCCTGAAACATGCTCATTGATTTGTTCTGAAGCTGCAGGAGACAGAAAGACCCATCATAGAGCAATATAAAGATGAAATGGCCCAAATTCACCTCAAAGTATAGTTTCCATTGTTGTCCAGAAGTTCCCAGGGGAGGCAGCTTAGTAAATAACTGATTGAAATGGAAGCCTAACACTTGAATGGCTCACAGCTATAATACCAAATTTCAGGAGTCTGGGATAGGAGGATTGCCACAAATTTGAGACCATGTCTCACAAAACAAAAGAAATAGGAGTATAGGAACTGGGTATAGATTATCATTCCCTAGGAAAAGAAATGAGGTCTCATTCAGGATCTAGTCCCCTGACACAAACTACTAAATGAGTTTATTAATAAACAAACAGAGTAATTCCCTCCAACTCCATGGGGAAGCCTAAAATAAAAGAAGAGCCTAGAACTTACTCTTTAGCTCATTTATCCCCTGACCAAGAGAGTTCAAGATGTCACCCTGAAGTTTTGGTGGTAGGATGTCTTTTTCATCACCAACCTAGAAGAGAACAGAACTATGTCAAGGTCAAGCATTCTGGTCAGGAGGTTAGGAAGGGTCCAGGAGAGTGTGAGGAATGTATGAGTTCTTCCCCTACCCCACCCCAAACCACTGCTCCACAGAGAGGAACAGAAGTCATTTCTGCCTCCAGCTTGAATTCAAGCATGAGCAAGGGATCCCCACAAGTGTATATTGCTTGCTCAAAAGACACTGTTGCTAACTGCCTCAATCAGCAAGGCATCTGGGTCTTTGCCTGTGGCCTCATGAGAGGAAGACATAGCACAAGTTCTTTCTCAAAGTGTCTATTGAGATCAGTGGGACATGATGAGACCCAAAAGGTTGTGTTGGTGGCAGGCCTGCAGGTGCCCTCAATGCAGACACTTACCGACAATAAGAAGGTTCCTTCGCAAAGATTCACCAACAGGACCTGAAGTAAACACAGAATGACTTTATCTCTTCATGGACCTCAACTACCAACTCCATTTCTGCCCATGACTACACTTGAAGCCCATGTAGCAGCAACATCAGCATTTGTAATTCTCATTTCCTGCTTGGCATTCTCATTTTTTTTCCTAGAAATCTAATCTCCCAGGTAGGAAATGGTGTGTGTGTGTGTGTGTGTGTGTGTGTGTGTGTGTGTGTGTGTGTGTGTGTGTAAAGGGAGCTGAGGAAAGAGTCACAATAGAAGGGAAGTAAATATGGGGAAACCATAGCCATCGCCATTCACTCAAAACACTGATCATGCCAGGCATGATGGTGCACACCTTTAATCCTAGCACTCTGCTATCCCAGACAAACAGGAAGATTGCCTTAAGTTCCAAGCCTGTAATGGGCTAAGCAGAGAGACCCTGTATCATCATCATCATCATCATCATCATCATCATCATCATATTAATAATAAAAAAGGATAAAAGAAAAACAACACTGTCTATAGAAATGATAGAAACTGCTTCCTTAGTGCAGAGCATGCCCATGGCATATATACAATACTCACTTTGCATATTTTATTTAATTCTAGCAGTGGTTCTGTGAAGCGGGTACTGCTTTATTTTGTAGATGAGATAAACCTAGAGAAGTTCATGTCAGAACCAAAGGAACTCCAAACTCCAAAAGGCAGTTCAAATATCCAGACCAGCTCAAACCAGACTACAGGAGTATTTCTGGTGGTTAGATAAAAGCCAGCATCCCTCAGGAAATAGTGAAATCCATTTCCATCTGCCAAAAGGAGTCATTTCCCTTACCTCTGGCAGAAGGGACCTATGACTATCTGTGGCATTTATGAGCATATCAAAAGCCCATGCTGCCCATATCACAAGTACCTATTACACATTTCAAATTGCACACTAACATACTAGCCTCACCGTTAGCCTAAGCTCATGGCTTCCGTCCCCCTAGATACTCATCCTTCTTATAACCCAGCTATTCTCTGCTCTTGCTCTGTGTGTGTGTGTGTGTGTGTGTCTGTCTGTCTGTCTGTCTGTCTCTCTTGCTATGTTCTATTCTCCATCTCTTGCCATCTCACTCTCTCCACTATTCTCTCCTGCTTCCCTCGCCCTACCCATGTTCAATATGCTGACTCTGTTTAGTCTACTTCTGTCTCTGCTCTGGAGTCTTCTAGATGCCTCTGGCAATTCTCTCAAATCTACAATAAAATCATTAACCATACCATGGAGCAGTTTCTTTAGAGCGCCCCCTTGCATACAGTTCCCAGAGGTCATGATGCTGAGGAATAGCAGACCAGTTTTCAAGCCTGAATTGTAGTCTTGGGGATCACATTCCTCTTCTGTCCCACTCTCCTTCAGCATCTGTCCTCTGGTCCACTCAACAGAGAACTGGACAGAGGTAGCCATGTTTTGATCTTTTGCACTTGAAACAACTCTTATGTACAACTGCCTAGAGTTCTTAAAAGTCCCTCAGAGTGGCTGGAAGTGGAGGTCAATGGTAGAGAACATGTTTAGCATGCTGTTGGCTTGGATTCAATTAATTAATAGCTTAATAACAGCCTTGAGACTTCCAGTAGGAAACTCAGCAAGGAAGAACATGAGCCCAGGGTCAACAGGAAGGGGAAAGGGAAAGAAGCAAGGGGGACTATGCATGTACCGGCTGCAAATGAGACCAGCACAGAACCAAGTTCCTGGACCATCACGACACAGCCTGAGAATCCTGCAATTTAGACCCACAACACAAAACAGCCATGCTGCTGGTTCCTCAGAGTATTCTTAGGTTATTGGACCACTTCCAATATATAAATTAAAATATTTTAAATGATTAGATTTTGATGTCTGAAAACTCTGACATTATGCCTTGGTTTTGCTTTGAGATTGGATCTTATGTAGTCCAGGGTAGTCTTGAACCCTGATCCTCCCACTTTCACCTCCTATAAGCAAGAGATACTACAACCAACTGGTACTATTTTTAAACTAACATTCAAAAACAGCAACAACGACAGTATCAACCTCTACCATTTGACAGGGATTTGGTCACCAAATGAATCATAGGTCTCCAAATCCTGTGCTGCCATTTAAGGACTATTTTGGGTCCCTACGTTCAGTTTCCTACCTGGGTCTCAACAATAGAATGAAGGATCCCTACATGTTCCCTACTTTCAAATATAAGGAAAGAGAAACTGGAAAATTTGCCAAAACACAGCCTGCACTGTAATTATCCATCATCGGGGGAGAAAACCTGAACTAGTCCAGGCCTGAAACAACATGTATACATAGGTTTGAATGCTTCATGCAAGGAAAGCTGTTCATTTGGGAGTGAGGAGAAGTGTATGCATAAATATTTTTTGAGGTTGTTCCCAGAAGTCTTCTCAGTATTTTTGTCGTACTGTGTATGGAGTAATTTCTTTCAGAGAGCTTATGTGGAGAATCAGAGAACCCTGCACTATGCCCAAAGAGCACTCATGCATGAACCCCGTATGGGCTTCCTCCTTTATCAGTTTTCCCATTTCTCAGAGCAGCTGCAAAGGAATAAAATAAGCAAAAGCTGTTAACTAGCAAGACCCAGAGCTGTACTGGCCTTCATTTGTCCTCCTGCCTGACTGTCGGGAGGAGGGAGCCTCAGCTTCAGAGGAGGGAAGTTACATAACTTCTGGAGTTGAGACATTTTAGCTTTTATTGCTAAAGTGGGGCTGATACCCTGCTCCAGTTAATCACAAGGCTAAGGGTTGTTCACAGGGCATGTGTACTCAGCACAAGAGCTGGAGAAACAAAAGCAAACAGCCTACTCCTCTCTCTCCCTGGAGCACCTTCTAGAGAAGGGCTTTGGCCTCTCTCTGAGTTCCACTGTTGCCTCATCTACGAAGTAGGTTTGCTGGAACTTACCACCCTCTTATGTAAAGGGGAAATCCTCCCACTAGAACTACCTCTGGGCCTCCTTAGTGTTTGCATCATGATGCCTGAATAGGTAACCCTGTCTCTGTACAGTGAGTTAATGATTAGCCAGGGCTGACCTTCCCAAGCAGTCCTGTATTCAGCTATAGTGATGTACTGTCCTTAGATCAGAGCACATGTTTCAAGTTGTTTGTCTAGCTTTGGGGGTAGATGTATGTGATTAGTGCCCAGTTACACAGCTGAACCCCCTTCTGTGTCAGGGTTATTACCAAGAAACAGGAAGCAGCAAATTCAAAGGGGATTTGAATCTATATCATCTTCATTACCCCAGTGAGCTCTGAGCTACTCAAAAAGATGGTACTTGTTGCAAATCTCTTCATTTTCATGACTTGACAGTTTACAAAAGGGCTTGTTTCCAAGGAATTTGAATTCCACTGGGGTGGGTGTTGCACAAGCCAGCTGTGATCATTCGTTGAACTGAGAGATCACCTAAGTGACTGCCCGGTAGGGATAATGGGCTAGTAGGATAGTCTCATGAGCTCAGAATAAGCAACATCTTGCTTCCTAATTCTGAAAAGCACTCATTCAAGAGAAGAGAGCCAACATTCACTGAACACTGGCTGTGTATCAAGTGCCAGGCTAGTAGCATAGTCATGTCATTTTCCACAGTCTCTAGCAACTGGAAACAGTTATTCCCATATTACTGATAAATTCAGGTTTAAAGAGATTAAGCAATGAGCCCCAAATCACACAGCTGTTGGCGCAGAGCTAGGATACAAATCAAAGCCTTCCTGGCTGTAAACCATGTACTCTCTGATGCAGCTTACCTCTTCCATAGGACTGTCCATAACCTCCTGCTGGAAGCGCATCTGTACCCCAACCATGAAAGGGGTGGGGCAGCAGACAGTGGCCAGAAGGCTCTCGGGAACCACAGGGATGTACGTGTGTGCCCAACTAAAGGGGTAGAGCAGAGCAGCTGCAGCGTGAATACACTGAGACAGGGTACTGGAACACAGAATAGAGAATGGGTCAGCACGGCTTCTCTTCCTATACACTGGCTCAGAGCCCCACACCTCCAGAAGCTCCTGGCAATGTTCCTATGCTAGGTAAAAAAAAAAAATCAAGTCTAGAAGCCATGCTGATCATAGAGCTTGTAGCTACTTGTTGCTAAGAGGAGAAGGGTAGAAATCAGGAAAGGCGAGGCCCTACTAACCAGGGTGGGGCCCCCTTTAATCTCTATTCCCAGCTAGTTCTCCCAAGTCATTACTGGCTAAAAATAAGAGTGGCTCAGAAGACATATCTTCATGTAAGCAGGATATGAGTGAGCCTCTACTCTGCAATGGACAGGGATAACCAGAAGAATAACACTGGCCCTTCTTTGAAGAACTCACAGCATAGTGAAGAACAAGCCAGCTAACACCAGACTTTGGTGAAGAGACAGAACCATCATCACCCACAGCCATGTCCCCTTATGGCCTCCTATAGCCAGCTGAGGTTACTAAAAGCTACCAGGTTGGTGCCTGAGTTAGTTTGGGAAATTCCTGGGTTCCAGGAACCACTACTCAAACATTCTGGAAAGTCCCACAGAGGTGACGCCTCAAGACTTGGCTACAAGGATTCCCCATGTCATTATTATCCAAGTCACAACTCAGCCTCCTTCCTTACCCCCATCATACACAGCCCCACTCTGGTTTCCCTCTTCTCCGCTAGCTCTCATGGCTTTTCACTTCTCCAGCCAAATTGCACCACATCGAAGGCCAATAAAAACACAGATGCGGAAACCTTGGTATCAAGCTAGCACTTCCTGAGTTAGAAAGACCAAGTCTCTGAGTGCCTCGCTAAAAAATGAGGCTGTCTGGAAGTCCCCTCCTTGCACCAGCCTCTATTTTCTGAAAATTCCATGTGGGAAGAAAGTAGGAAGTGTTGATATTTCCTGGAGAAAGTTCACTCTTGATAGGTAATGTGCAGCCTTCACACCCCAAACACTGGTCAGAAGAGAAAGAACCTAGTTGGAGCCTGAGCCCCAGCTGCCACAGAAACTTCTTCCACATAGGCCTGGAGTAGAAGAGCCTCCTCTGAAACAAAAATGATGCCCCCTTCCACAAGAATTAGCCTATGATATTTTCCTTTTGGGTTGTTGATGACATTACTGTTTTTAAACACACAGATCCCTGACCCCTGCCGAGTTTTCTTTCTTCTGGAACTCATGACACTCCTTTGATCCTCTGTAGTTTCCTAAGCTTCCTTTCCTTCTTCCCCAAAGGACAGTACCAGGGTTCAGCTCAATTATTACTTCTTGCTGTGGTGGCCTTTCATCCCAGCACTCGGTCAGTAGAGGTAGGCAGATCTCTGTGAGTTCCAAGTCATCCAGGACTACATAGTCAATCCCCTACTCTTTTTATCATTTTTTTCTCTCTGCCTGTCACATGTGTCCCCACATCCATTCCAGACCTGAATTCTCTCAAAGTTAGCCATCAACACATGACAGCTTCCCGCTTCTACACACAGGTATAACCTCAACTGGGACCTGACAGAGAGTAGAAGGTAGTCCTCACTAGTCTGCACCTGGTGGTGTCCTGGGTGTCCACCACTGTGCACCATCACCTTTAATCCTCATCACAACCATATAAAGCAAATCCAATCATTTTCACCCTACAGATAAGGCGATCTTGACTTGAAAAGTTAAAAAGCTGACCTAAGCGGAACTGCAGCTAAAGGTGGAAGAACAAGATTTGAAAGTCAGTCTGCTGGTTTCAATACCTATGCTTAAAACCAATACATAACCCTTCATCTCCTTCAGGGCAAACAGTCTTCTTGCTATCTCCTCAAAGCTCGGCATCTGGCAAACAGCTGACATGCAATAAATATTTATTGAATGAGTTCATAAATGTGTAGATGAGCTTGTCCTCCATGCTATTACACAGCTTCCTGTCCTCTTCTCCACCCTTCTCCCTCCCTCAGCCTGGCTGTGCCAGGGCAGAATCATGTCTGCATTCACCCTAGCTGGCCCTGCCTGTATTATACCAGATACACTCCAGGTCCTTCTTAGATTATAGCCAGGCAGCAATCAAGTTTAGGGATGGCCAGACAAGTTGCACTACTTGTTTCTCTAGGCCTAAAATGCAGATCCAGGAACTCGAAGCTGGAAGGTGCACACACGGACCCAACAATCAGACTGCCTTTAAGAAGCCCCAATATTGTCCCTTGAATCTGAGGGCACAGCTTAGTGTAGCCAGCCAGTGGCTGAGCTTACCTGAGACCTTCTGCCAGGAAGATGATTTTTCTTTCCAGTACTGCAGAGGCAAAGATCTGAATAATCTGCTCAAAATGGAGACAGTGCAACAGAGCACTAAAGTCCACATGTTCTAGGTGGGAGTCCAGGGGCCGTGTCAGTGAGATGAACTGTGAGGCAACCAGAAAGGAAGGTTCCAGCAATACAAAGTCACAGACCCACTCCAGGCCTATCCCATTCTTCCCACAGGACAGATCTGATCCTGGCCCACCCGTCAGTGGCTTCCTTCTGCTCTGAGGACAGCTGGGTGGAATCATCAGTATGGCCCATGAGGTCCAGCCTGGGACTCATGCCCGTCTCCACATGCTTTACCATGTACATGTCCTGGAGCAGAGCTCTTCTCTTGCCTAAAGTCTGGCATGGGCCAGGCCTCCCATGCATTGCTCTCCTCAATTCATTCTTATCCCTTAGCCCAAATGCCCACTGTGGTCATCTTAAGACTTCCTCATCTTTTTCTCATGCTACACACTGCTTCTTCTTTCAGTGTGACTGCCTAATCTTTAACTATATGTTCTCTGGTGTGTTTACTAATGTACACATTTACTGGTGTGTCTTCTCCATGAGACGTTTAGCTCCCCAAGGTCAGGAGCCAGATTCATTTTACTTACCACTCTACTCAGAAAATGCATATCTTGACAGACACAGAGTATTTCAGTACTTGTTTTTTCCTTCAATATTTTTTCAGTAACTGAAAATTCCTAGTGACTCCCTGATTCTTCTGTGGGAATGACCAGGTTCAGAGGTGCACATGGAATTTCCAAAGTCCCAGAGATCTCAGCTGGAATTCCACTTGCTGCCTCTAGTTCTTTAGTGACTTGGAGCAATAGTACCTCATGAGATGGGTGGGGACTTATGGGTGGGGATGAATGATAAGAAGTAAAACAGATGGAGACTGTATGGTAGAGATACAGGACACACAGAGAATAGGGGGAAGGTGTAAGAGCAACTGGGAGTTGGGACACTAGGGACAAACTAAGCACCATACGTGATCACAGACGAAATTCAGTAGACTGAACAGTAAGTAGCTACTGGTGGACATCAGGTTAGAAGGTGCAGCATAATTTGGGTGAGTTTCTAGCTCTATCAATAATCCTAATGCCAGGCTCATCTTCCCTACACATTAACCTGGTGAATGAAAGAAGAGCACTGAGAGGTCCCACAGAAGCCTACCCTCTCCAGCCAGGAAGAGAGTCACACACTTGTTAACCCACCTCCGTGCCTGAGTCAGGGATGAAGCTCTTAAGGGTGACAGTCTTTCCAGGTGCAGGGAAGGCTGCCTCTCGGAGACCTTGCATGAATGGGTAGATGACAGCCATGGAGATCTGATGTCTCTTCTCTACTTCATCTAGTATCTACAGGAGAAGGACCACAGGAAGCAAGACTTAGAGGGATTCTACTGAACATCCCAAGGCTCTCACCAACTGGTTTCCATCTCATGGACAAAACCTACTTTCCCAAGATTTCTTTTGATTGTCTCTTACATTCCTTCCTTCTCCTAACACTGACATAAAACTGCGAAGCCTAACAAGTCATCTTCCATGTTAGCACTGGCTGGAGTAGGAGCCTAGAAGCCTAACCTTCTGGGCATCACTGTCCCATTTCCTCTGGGCTGTCATCAGGGTGAGGCTGCTACCAGCCCTCACTGTGGTTCATGGAAGTAAGATCCACCCAAGCAGAAGCCCGTGGAGTTCCTCTCCTACATCCAGAGTCCTTCGGGCCACCAAGACAGGCCATGTCCAGAATTAGGGACTCTGCCTTGGTCCTATCCCTAGCAACACAAGTCCTCAATTTCTCTTCTAGCCTCATCAAAGTCAGGGTAAATCTCAGGATCTTCACTGTGCCTTTAGACTTGTGTGGTACCCTCCTTTTTATGAAGGATTTTCTCATGTTATACTTCATCTGCGCCTCATACCAACCAGGAAGATAGAAAGAATGGACAATAGTTCTCTCTGCAGGGGAAACAGCCTTCTAGATTTCCTTTAAATAGGGTTGAGCCCAGATCCCTCCTGTCTCAGGTTTACCCAATATCCTTAATGCTGGCTGGGCTATCAGGAAGGCGTTCTACCAAGGGCTCAAGTTGCAAGGCAAGCAGCCAGCAGAGCCAGAAAGCTGAACAGGCCTGCCTAACAGGCTCCAAAGAATCTTGTCCTAACCCTACCTTGGAGAACAAGCCGAAGCAGCCGATGCAGCTGATGATGCAGTATACCTTGGGAAGGCGAGGGCCAGGACCGGCAGGCTAGGGGGGGACAAGAGTTTCCTTCAGGTCTGCAGCTTCCACAAGGGTTTTCCCCACATGAGACTGATGGGGAAAAAGGTAGAGTGCTGTGGATGGGGGTCAATGGCTAGACGGAGAAAGGCCTGTACAGAGGTTCTTTCCATGGAACAGGCAGAAGAAGGGTCAAAATAGTCACCAAAGATGATGATTACTATTTACAACAGCCATATTATGCAACCAACCTAAGTGTCTGTCAACAAATGAAAAGATAAAGATAATGTGTCATATAAACAAAGTGGAGTATTATTCAGCTAACAAGAAAAATGACATTATGACATTTTGAGGTAAATGGATGTAGCTGGCAATTATTATCTAAAACAAAAGAAACCATGCACAGATTAACAAACATGTGTTTTCTATTAAATATGCAAGATTTGGATTTTAGAAAAATAAGACATAAATAAAAGACATGAGAGGCTAGTGATATGTCTCAGTGGTTAAGAATACACAGTGCTCTTCCAGAAGATCTAAAATCAATGCCCAGCACTGATATTGGATGGCTCACAGCCACCTTTTACTCTAGCTCAGGGAATATCCCTTCTTCTGGCCTCATAAGACACCCATACACATTTGCACATATCCCACACAGACACACATATGCACATATCATACACATATAATTATAAATAAAGTCTTTAAAAAAGAGAGACAGGAGGGCTGAAGAGATGGCTTACTGGTTAAGAACATTTGCTGCTCTTGCAGAAGACCTAGATTTGGTTCCCAGCTACATGGTAGCTCACAACCATTTGTAACTACCAGAGGACCTAGCTCCCTCTTCTGTCCTCCATGGGCACCAGGCATGCACACAGTGCACTTACATGCATGCAGTCAAACACTCATACACATAAGTAAAAATAAAGAAAAAAATGAAAACCATGAAATTAGAAAGGTGACTATTTGGGAGGAGGGAGGGAACTGGAGTGATGGGAATAGTAAATGCATATAATTCAAGTACATGGATTACACATAAGAAGACATCACAATCTCTATTCTTTTATACAATGGGTGCATGCTAATAAGAGAAGAGAAGGAGAAGGAAGAAAAGGAGGAAGAAGGTGTGAGTGGCAGCCTTTGGGGGCCAGAAACCCAAAGGTAAACACTAATGACTCATGACCAACATGAGCTGAAGGTCAGTGAGAACAAAAACAAGTGTGTCTTAGCCACGAGGAAATGTCTAGAGAGGAAAGCATTGGAAAGGTATCTGGAGAATCTTTGTCCTGAAAGCCCAGAATTAAACCTTGTTCAAATCTCAGACTGTCGGGGAGGCTCCCGGGAAGAAGGCACACAGGTCTGGGTAGAGAAGAAGCTTCAGTTGGAGCCTCTCACTGTGTGTGGAAATGTTTGAGCTGAGAGAGCACAGGCCAGAGCCTGGTGACAGGGGAGGGGAGGGACAGTACGTCCTTGCTCTTGTGGAATTCCAGAAAAGACACTAACATGGCCGCATGTGCTGGGCTGTACTCTCCCTACAACCACCACTGCCACCGAGCCTGAGCTTTGGTAGCCGAGGCTTCGGCAAACCCAGCTGTGGAGCTGAACAGTCTGCAGAGAGGAAGGGGCGGTTCTGAGTAGCACCAACCAGAAGGCGCCTGCAGTATCCAATCTTCCTGCTTCCATCCACGTTGGTCAGGACAAATGAGAAGGTCTCCCTAAGAGAGAGCAAACCGATGATGTGCCTCTGCTCACTGGATTTCTAAGACAAGACTGAAGTCAGCGTCAGAGAGGTGGAGAGGAGGACAAAGGGGCGCTGCTGATTAATCATGAGGATAATCACCACAGTCACTTATTAAGCACTCAGTGGTGCCAAGCCCAAATGCATCACCTCACGGAGACTCAAAATAACCTTCTGAAGGAAGTTCAATTAGTATTAGCACTTTAAAGATGAAGTAAGTAAGGCTCAGAGAAGGTATTTTTTATCTAAAATTTGAAGTCACAGTCAACTTCCAGTGTTCATGATGTAAGAAGTTTTTATGATATTGTCTTCTTAGAGTCCAAAGACTTCCTTTCCAGTCCAGCTTCTGCCTGTGGCAGAGTCAAAAAATAGGGACTACTTCTTCTAGGATAGGTTAGAGACTCTTAAGTGTCTTTGGATAGAGGTCAAGCCACCACTAAGATCTTTGGCATAAAGGACCCTAGGCAAAATTTTTCCTGGCAAAAACTCAGCATTCTCATCCAATGAGGGGACCACAAGGGCCATACATTTGTCCTTTCATTCAAATCTGATACCCTTGCCCCCAGGCAGAGTGGTTACCTGGGATAATCTGTGAGTGGTGCCCACTCATTCCCATCAGGGAAGCAGAACAAAGGAATGGCTTTGAGCAGACGTTCCTCCTCCTCCTGTTGGCCCCGTAGCAGGTTCTCCCTCTGTAAGGAAAAGGCAAGGGGATTTAGGCAGAGAGGCAGGGATCAGAAGGCTATTATTATTTTTTTCTTTATTTTTACTTATGTGTATGAGTGTTTGCATGCATGTAAGTGCGCTGTGTTATATTATTATTATTATCAGAAAGAAGGGATCAGCCTTCTTTCCTAGCATGGAGTACAAAGGTGCCTTTGCCTGGTACCACATTGTCTTCATTCTAGGTCTAGCTGGAATTACCCCAAAGAGAGAACAATTTGTTCTAGGTCACATCAACATAACCTTGGCCTGGAATTCAGTATCCTGGGGATTTACATATTCAAAAAGGAGGTTAGACAGGTCAGCTGGACCCTGAGAGGGTGACATCAGAGAGAGGCCACATCAGAGAAAAGAAGCAACCTATCCAGTTGCTGAGCTGCTAACAAGAGGGGCTGATGAGTGTGGTGCACTGCACCTCACCCAGTGTGTAATCGGACAAGGAGGACTCTAACACATTGGGAGTCTGATCTTAGCCTGTGTTTGCATCTTGGGTCTGCTTGATTTTCTACCACAGAACCAGGAAGGGCATGCCTTCTTAGGAGTTCCGCAGAAGCTGAGCTTTTCTGTAGGAAAAGGTGACTGAGGTGGAATTTGGAAAAACTAGGAGGTTCCCAAAGAGGCAAGAGCAGGAGGCTGGTTTCCCTGCTCTAGAGATTCAGTTAGTCCATCACCACAAAGCAGTCAGACCTAGATTCTCTGGGTGATAACAGAAAGCTAGGGCTGGGCGAGAAAGGAAATGAGAGCAGTGAACTCAGAGCTCAAGACTTGGCAGGGTGATAGGGAGTAGAACTCCACTGCCTTTTAAACACACCTCTGTCTTCCCCCCTCCATCCTCAGGCCCCACCTCTCCTCCATCCTTACCTTGGGAAACTGGTAGGTGATCGTGGGTTCATATTCATCCCCTGAACGCTTTTTCTTTAAAGAAACAACAAGAAGGTATTCAAAGAAGTGCTGGCCTCCAGCAAAGCTAGACAGGGAATGTTCCTGGGTCCTTTCTGGTTCTGGGACAGCTTCCCCAGGATTGTTCTGGGAAGGTCCTAAAACGGAGATGCAAGGGGCCCTTGAGTATTCCATTCCTCCATTCTGTACTGTGTGTGAGAACCTGGGCAACTTGCATGCCTCAAGGCCACATTGCCAGTGCTGACTGATACCCAAGCCTGACCAGGCACCACCAGTCACTGGGCAGGACCAGAGCCAAGTGGGCAGTTTCCATACCTGTCCTGGGAACTTGAAACTTCGGAGTAGCACAGGGAGAAAAGAAAGCACTGATACAGAAACTGAGGAGCCACGCTGTGTAGGCTCTTGGAGGCCTGATGTCTAACACTGTACAGCCTGCCTTCGGTAGCTGTTCTGGTAGTATTTCATGTGCCCGGAGTAAATTTGTACTAAACAACCAGATGAGCCCATAGGGCATTTTCTTATGACCATACCAAGAGCTCCACAGGAGACATGCCCAGCTCTGCCAACTGATAAGGCAATCCTCCTGGCCTGATCACATGGGGGCCATGTGGATTTCAGCATGTAAAGGAAAAATAAGGAGGAGCACTCCAGGAGGAAACAGCCCATGAGAGGATCACCCTAAAAAGGAAGTAGGCAATCCAGTTCTGACCTGCTCCAAGTCGTGGTAAGCGATTTCGGAGCAGCCTGAGGGTTCGGCCTACCCCTTGTCCTTCCATCGGTCTGGGCTTGGGGGGCATGAATGTTCTTTCTCCTTCAGGCTGGCCACAGAAAGCCTGAGAAAGTGCCTTCTGCTTTGGTCTCCAATCACAGCTTTATTAAGCTGAACCATGTGCTGTCTCCCAAAAGCAGAGAGCAGTTTCCATCCTGTGTACTCCGTCGTTGAGCAAGAAGGATGTGAAAGGACCCACGAGGCAGCTTAACGTGGGCACTGACAGAGGCAGCATCCTGGCACTACAGCTCAGCTCTTGGCTCCTCCCAAGAGCCCCAGGGTGTGGTAAGAGAAAAGGTCATGAGCAAACATCTCAAGGCACAGCTGCTTCTGGACTAAGGGCTTTGAATTCCGGTGCCGCAGACCATGTGGTGAGTTTATTTACAACCTCCGGCAGTGAGGGATAACTGGAAAAATCAGACCAGGGACTCCAGCACCTCCTGGGTCTCAGCATAGGTATTTTACATCCCATATCTTTGATTGCCCTCCATTTACTTCTCAAGTTGCTCATCAGAAGCTGCAAAGTCCTACCAGACCAACTGGCGAACTATAAAACACAGGACTTCAGGATCTCAACCAAGAACACAGGACTGGACACTTCCTGCAGCCAAGATGCCACTGCCTTGTCCTGATTCAGATAAGTAGACCCGCCCAATGATTCTCTAAATAACTTCTAGCAAGAGAGGGAGTCTCTTGACAGACCCCATGGATCCTCTCCTGATGGTGAAGTAAAAAACAAAGACCACCTCTGAGAGTTCCTGATACTGCAAGTATAACTATAAAGGCAACGCCCTTCCCCCGAAACATGTCCTAGGCAGAGAACTCTTTCACTGAGACTGTTCCAGGGCTCCAGCAGATTCCCTCTTTCTAAAGGAAGCACTGACTCAGGAAATTGTCCCTAGCCTAAAATAGGGGACTGGTTGCATCAGCATCAGTCGGGATACAGAGCATCTTCACCCCTCCACAGCTCCTGCTCAGCCTTTCTCCTGGTTGGGCCAGGTCAACATCCTAAGGTGCAGACCCAGTGCTGTGTCTGGAGGTTGAGGAAGAGCGGGAAAGTAGTCATTGATAACCCAGGTTTCTCACAGAAAGTCCTGAATGAGGAAATGCATGGGATGAGAGGGAAGAGCCTTTGCCAGGAAGTTGCTTAATGGGGAGGGAGGAAGCAAAAAGATCTGGTGCCTGTGTCTGCCACTCCTGCAAAGAATTAGCAGCCCTCTGGGAGGGAGTGTGTTGCTATGGTAGGAAGGCTGTTGCTCTGCTCCTAAGAGCTCTAAAAATGGGCCTTTGTGGCACCAGTAAAAGTAGAGACTCAGAGGTCCAAAGCTGACTTGTTGGGGAAGCTCCAGTCATCATAAATAGGATGAGAGCTGGATCAGTGAGAGGGATTAACCAGGCAGTCTTTGTGTCTTTCTTGTACCCTGTATAGACTCCTTACACAATCTGCACCTGTCTGATACAGAAGTGAAAACTGAGGCGTTAATTACTCAGGTGATTTAAAATGAACAGGGTCTATAGAAGATGGGCATTATAAGGGTTCCAAATCCAGGCTCAGGCCTTCTGGTGTATTACATAGTCAACATCCCATGGTGTGTGTGTGTGTGTGTGTGTGTGTGTGTGTGTGTGTGTGTGTGTGTGTGTTGGGGGTGGAGCAGTAAGCAAATGGCTTGTAAAGCCAGAATTGTCTTCCCGATCATTCCAGAACCTCAGGAAATAAGTCTTTTCCTAAGTCCTTGGGGCAGCATTTTCACACCATTTCCTCCTGCTTTATCAGGAGAAATGAGGGAACAGCAGAGTCAGAAATCCTAGACCAAAGCAAAGTAACTAGACTTTTCGGGCTGAGGCTAAAGAGATTCAACAAAAGAGTGCCTTCTCCATCTTCCCCTTTCAAAAGGGGTTATCACCGAAAAGTCTGAGAAGAACTAATCCACATCAAATTCCTGCATACTGTAAGGCATCTCACTTAATCCCTAATGCCCTGGAATGGATTTATCCTCATTTTTAATTGAGGAAGAAGCCACCCTTCTAGGGAAGTCAAGAGTCTGGTTCTACTCTTTCTTCCACCAGGAAGTCCCTCCCACAGGCACCTGAAGGAAAGAGGGGACTTTGGGGAACCTTGATCTGAAAAGTTGTTGTTTGTTCTTTGCTGAACTGCTAGTGCTAGCAACCCAGAACCACAGCAGCAGTCTTCCCTACCAGTGTTTTTCACACACACACACACACACACACACACACACACACACACACACACCCCACTCTGAGAAACAACTGCCTGAGCCTGAAGGGGAAATCCCCCAGGAAGCAGTAGGAGAGCAAGAAAGATGAAAAAGCCACTCCCATATGACCTGACAGGTGCTAAACTTGTGAACAGGCACATATGGGCCTGCCTTCCTGTTCCTCAACCACAGGGAAGCACCCCCAGAAACCATTGCAACCTTTATGCTGCTGTAAAGGGTAAGGCGAGAGAACAACTGAAATGTGTCCTCTTGAGGTCCAGGAAGCAGATTCCAGCCATTCAGCAGATTACCCAGATCTAGGAAGCCCAAGAAAACCAAAACCAAGCCAGGAAAAAAAAAAAAAAAGAAAAGACAAGACCCATCTCCTCCCTACATACTGCTCCAGCGATTGCAGACCCCTCCCTTGCATGCAGATGGAAGGGGCACATGCAAGAACAACCACAGCTGGAGCACCACATCTGGAGCAGGCGGGAGGGTGGCAGAAGTGAGAAAGGACAGAGAACAGAGCAGTCACAAGTCACTGTAGTTCCGAGAAGGAAGCACTGACCTCAGCTCTGGGGCTCTCCAACCCTGGGGCCTATTAGGAGAGGGGCCCACTGACCTCTTCACTTGCAAATACTGGAAGGGGTGAGCTCTCTGGGGATGACCCTTAAAAACCTTTCAGTCCTCTTTTCAGAAGCATGGGCTCTGTGCGAACTCGGGGGTGGCAGCTCAGCCATAGCCCTGGCCAGACATAAACAGCAACAGATGTTTGTTGAATGAATGGACACATTAATAAATCCTAATCGCCTTTCTTCCAAATTCTAGTGCTCCAGATACGAAGAAAGGAAACACGATGAGACGTCTCATTTCACCCCTACCATGCACCCGGAACAGGGAAAAGATTCCCATCTCACAGGTCAGGACTCAAGGTCAGGACTGAGAAAACAGCTGGGCTGGTCTACCTGCTCCCCACAACCCCACCCCCGCCTTGGCCAGTGCTGAGGCATTGGGGAGACCAGTTTTTGTGGCGCGGTTATCGGCAAGGACAAGCTGGCTCCCTGGAACTGAACAAACTTAAACGCCAGTCCAGCCCTCGGCAGCTAGCTAAGTAGGGAAGCGAAGCGCCTCCCGGACGGCTTGGCAACTCAAACTCTTTAGCCATAAAGTGGCTGCACCACAAGCTTCCTGGATGGAAGGACACGTGGCCCACGACCCAGAGCCCCGCAACCGTTGCAGGTTTCTGGTCACCAGGCTTCTTCTCGGACCCAGCAGGTCTGTCCACTTGCTGATCAATACCTGCTTCCTTGAGCTCACCTGCCTCCTGCCCAGCTCTCCCAGATCCGCCCAAACGGCTCCTCGACCTTGCCCCCAGTGCCGCACTGAGCCTACAGTTCTGGCGCCCAGGTCCCCACGCCCTCTCCCCCGCGCGCTGTGGCCCGCACTAACCCCCGTGGCCGCGCTTCAGTCTCAGGCTGGCTCGGAGGCGGCGGCCGAGCCCATCCATGGCCCCTCCAGTGCCCGGCGCCGGCTCCCACGTCCGCGCCGGCCCCGCCCCCCCAATCCTTGACCTTCGCGGGGGCCCTGGAACTTTCACTTTCACGCGGGAGGCGCGGGAAGGGGGGGACTGGGGCGGGGCAGCGCACCTTCCGGGCTCCTGCCCAACCCCTGGTGCACCTGGCCTGGCTGCTCTTCCCGGGTCCCCACCCTACCCTCTTGTGCCTCAAGGTCTAGGGTGACAGAGGGCGCTAGACCGCGAGTCCGGGCGGGGCGGTGCCATCTCACTGCCACCCTCTGTGAAACTCCACTTTTGGAAACATACTGATAGGTGCCTGAAGAGACCCTTACCTCCTGAGCAAGGACTGGGAGATGTACCTCCCAGTTGTTTCCAAACTAACCAGAGAAGGTGCAGAGTTTTCAGACCTCACTCCCTTCCAGCTAAATGTCTGTCCTTGCAACTCTTTGGAGAGCTGGCTACCTCCAGTTCTCTTTCCTTTATCATCTCTTCCTGGAGACTCCTGAGATGAGACTGGAGAGGTGGATTAAGGTACCGACCCTACCCAGCAGCCCAGTCTTTCTTCTCTCCTCCCCTCCACTGACTTCTAAATTGGCCCAGACTTTAAACTGCAGTTATTAACCAGGACATGGTGATAAGCACCCCCTGGGATTCTGTGGTGCATCCTCTCTTACTCCCAGGACAGGGCAGGTATCTGTAAGAGAGGGATGGGCAGAGTCTGCGAGAACTTTCTGTGTCTACCAAGGTCTTTCTTACTTTGGTTTCAGGAATAAAAGGCAAAAGGAAGCGAAGACCCACACAAACATGTCTGGGACCCACAGTCCTCTTCAGTCTCTCCATGTCTTGCCCCCAGTTAACTCCACATTCCTCAACTCTATAGTTCAGAAGGAACTGGACAGCCAGCTCTTACATTAAACTGACTACTCGGAGCAGAGGGTCTATGAGTTAGTTGCCTTTATTCTGGGTGCAAGCAACTTACACTTGAGTATATAGTTTGTTTTTGTTCCCCATTCCTTAGATCCTTGGGTGAAAGAACATGAAAGGACATGGCTGTCCCTAAGTTCCTTTTCTTATGAGACCCACAGCTTATACAACTCTCACAAGAGAAGGAGCTGCTCATGAACACCTTGTCCTCCAACATATTGATGTTATTGTGTCTTAATTGGCCCAAATGGTGTTTTCTTCCTTGAAAAACAGATGATTAAGAATACATGTGCACCAAGAAGACAAGGAAAAGAAGATTAACGAAATTTATTTGAAGCAGCCTTAATGTGGAAACAATCTCACATGCTCATTAACAGAAAATAGGTGAATCATGGCAAAAGTGTACAATTGTGTATTATGCAGCAATAAAAGTAAATAAGCCCCTGTTGTGTGCAATATAACGCCTATACTGTACAAATATGATGTTGAACAAGAGTTACTGGACCCCAAAGAGAGATGCTTCAATTTACATAAAGTTAGAAATAAACAAAACTAACCTATAGATGGGCAGTCAGGACAGTCCGTCTTTTAGGGAGGAAGGAGGAAACAATGGCTGGGGAACACCATAGGACCTCTGGTCGGGGGGTGAGGACAGTTGGCCATGACCATTCCTACCGTGATGATAAAGACATTCACTAGGTGGTTATTCTTTGCACGAAACACATCGGAACTCTTTGTTGTTGTTGTTGTTTTGAGATAGAATTTCTCTATGTAGCCCTGGTTATCCTGGAACTCTGTAGACCATGCTGGCCCCCAAATTCAGAGATCTGCCTGCCTCTGCCTTCTGAATGCTGAGATTAAAGGCATGCACCACCACCTCCTGACAATTTAAGAAGTTTTAATAGGTGTCTGAGGCTTTCACTTAGACTAATGTCAAGAGAGCCATTGATGACAGTAGTGAAATGGAGGTGGAAATGGCCAAGAATGAAATTAGAAATTATTGGAGTGTGAGGAAGTAAAAATCTACATTTCTGAGAAGGAAGAATAACAGCGGAGTGGGGAGTTCAGTGGCCTTGAATTGAAGGGATATTTGTGTTTAACATGGTGGGTTCTCTGAGAAAGACAAGAAAGCATTTGTTGTTGGCAGACATTTGTTGTTGGCAGAGCGATAGGAAAGGGGGAAAAACAAACACTTATAGCTCAAGAAAGAATAAGTGGAAGAAACAAAGTCTGAGAGGAGAGGAAAGTGGGTAAAACAGGCTTTAGTGGAATTTGGGCTTATGTTTTATTAGGACTATATATTATTTTATAAAATGAGTTTCATGGCGGGGGGGGGGGGGGGGGTGGCACACGCCTTTAATCCCAGCACTCGAGAGGCAGAGGCAGGTGGATCTTTGTGAGTTCGAGGCCAGCCTGGTCTACAGAGCGAGATCCAGGAAAGGGCCAAAGCTACATAGAGAAACCCTGTCTCAGGAGGGGAAAAGAAAAGTTTCGTTTTGACATTTTCCAGCATATATAAAATCTTGTTATCTCTTGTCTCCCTCCCCCTTATAGCAGTTCCACTTTCCCCCATATATTCCTGGTTCTACTCTCATGTCTGTTGTTTTGTTTGTAAGCTAGATTTTACCATGGGAGAAAAAATTGCAGTATTTGTCTTTCTAAGTCTAGTTATTTTACTTAATATGTGATCTCCAGTTCATTCATTTTCCTGCAAAGGTCATAATTTCACTCTTCCTCATGGCTGTATAATACTCCAATGTGTATACATGCCACACTTTTCATCCATTCATACTCTAATGGGTACCTAGACCAAGCCCATAACTTGGCTATCTTGTATAGTCAAGCAATGGGCATGGCTGTATAGGTATCCCCAAGGCTTCATGTCATTAGAAGTGGAAAAGAAGAAACCTGTCAGCTGGGAACTCAGTGGAAGCTTTTGCCAGTCACAAAGCAAAATTACCAAACCGCCTAAGGCCATCTCCCTTCCAGCCATAATCCTGTGGATTTTCTAGGAGTCTCACCTGAAAGCCCTTTGCAGGGAAATGACATGTTATAAAAGCCCTCTTTCAGCCCCAGTGATTTCTGGTTTTATTTTATGTAAGATATCTCTGGAGCCACTTCATGTTTCTCTTTTGTCAAAGAGAAAAAAAGGGAAGGGGAGTCCTAATAACCTTTTGAGATGTAGCTCAAGAGTCACTAGAGGGGTGTGTGTGTGTGTGTGTGTGTGTGTGTGTGTGTGTGTGTGTGTGTGTGTAAGACAATTGCTCATTCTCCCTTGAGGAGCCCATACACTCAGGTGCATCTTACTTTCTACTATTCTCTCTTGGGAAGCACATACTCCGACCTGGGCATGCATCATTTCTTCTGAGCATGTCCCATTCTCATAACCATAAGCCCGTATTAAAAATATCATTGAACAAATTTTTGGCTTTGCTTCACTATACTGGCTAGTCATGAAATTTTCTTCAGTGTCAAAGCCATGAATCCCAATTTGGCCTGAGTTGAGGTTCTTAAAAGTCTAGGAGAATGCCTCAAGCTGGCGAGGGTGGCCATGTGAAGCTGCCACCACTGACAACCTTTTTATTTGTTAACTTCTACTCCTTCAGGTGTATACCCATGAGTGGTTTAAGAAGATTATGTGATGATTCTAGTTTGTTTCCTGAGGACCCTATATAGTGATTTCCATAGTGGCTGGACTAGTTTACATTTCTGGCAGAAAGTACATGGTTTCCTTTCTCCTACATTCTTTTCCCTGCACTCTTGTCTTCTTGATGATGACTCTGATTGAAATGGGACATAATCTCAGCATTGTTTTGATTTGAATTTCCTTTGTGACTAAGAATATTTGAACATTAAAAAAAAATCTATTCTTTGGCCATCTATATTTCTTCTTGTGAGAACTACATGAGATAGTTGTGGTGACCAACACTGGTAATAATCTCAGCACTTGGGATGCAGAGGCAGGAGTACCAGAATTTCAAAGTCACAGTTTCACATGGAGTTGAAGCCAGCCTGTGATACATGGGACTGTCTCAAAATAAAACAAAACAAAATCACCAACAAAAGCTAGACCATCACCATACCTGAGCCACACATCTTTAAAGGCCCACCCTCACTGATCCTCTTCATTTAACTAAGCTCTCCCCCTAAAGTTGGGGGGCCATCTGTTCAAACACACAAAGCTGTGAAGAAAACAAACCATAACACTTTGTCCCTGATCCTCAGAGGCTAATGACGATCTCATAATGCAATACTCATTCAGTCCTTACTGCCCCTTGCCAGGGAGCCAGAGGTATAGGCAAGCGTGTTTTCTACCTCCTCTGTGTAGCCTTTCTGCTTCTCCATGCTTTGCAGAGGCCCTATCATCTCAGCAGAGGCCCTATCATCTCTTCAGAGGCCCTATCATCTCTCTTTCTTCATGATATGGTCTGTGCAAGTCACATAACAGAAGCTTCTAATCAGCCATCTTATCCCAAAGTCTAGAGTTTTGCTTTAATAGGAAGGAAATTTAACTGAAGGGGGAACAAAGAAATGAATATGGACATGGTAAGTCCATAGATAAGGAAGTGAAAGCATGAGAGACCTCAGTGTCTGTTAGATGGTTTCCTCTGACTCTTACAGTCATCACTCTATTCTTCTCCCACTTACCTCCAATCTAGCTGTTAAGTGGAAGAAAAGCCTTCCCTTTTTGGGAGAATGGGAAGGTATTGCAAGCAAACACATACATACATACATACACACACAGACACACACACACATACACACACACTTCACTAAGGTATACAAGGGGACATGGCAGAATGAACTTAGGCATCTGAGACTCACAGACATGGACTTCAGCCCCACTCATTCCTCCCACAATGCATTCTTGGGTTAGGCATGCCCAGAGCCTCATTTTCCTGAGATAATAAAACCACCATGCATGGGCTGCTGTGAAGATTAGAAAAGAACACATATGACTGTATCTGTAATCTAGGTTCTTTTCTTAACTCTTCCT